AAGAAGCAAGGACGGCACAAAGTAAATGGTGTGGAAAGAATGAACCACAAGTTGGAGAAGAGGATGTATCCCGAAGTTCACACTCTCTGAGAGTGTTAATCTCCATTAAAGGGTGCGAGTGCCAAGGCCTCCCGAACACAACATATACCTCACCATATTCTCCTTTTGAGCCACCCCTAACGGATGACCCTCAAATATTTGGGAAACGTAGTAGAAAACATAAACAAAAACGGGCTACGGATCAAGATCCCAAGGTCACCATGAAGATGCATACAAGGTTAGATCTGATCGTTATTAACTTCGAGTTGCAACGGAACAAGAGTTGGTGTAGCTCGTTCTTCAAGTCCCTCAAACCGTCCCACGAACGCTTCCTCGAACGAAGATCGAAAATACAACCTCTCTATGGATTGCACGCGTACGAGATTGATGGTACAGTAGCGCTTCGTCGTCTAGAGCTAGGCGTCACCGGAGAACTAGGGGAGGGAGGAGCAGCCTCGCGGTGTCTCACAATTTTCCTGGAGAACTAGAGAGAGAAGGGGCGCCCAAAGATTGTAGGAGAACTTATGTCTCAGTAGGGGTGCCCCTTGGGTATATATAGGCGGAGGGAAGGGAGGACGACTTGGAGGAGGGGCCTCCCTTCCCTGTGGCGGCAGCCAAGGGGTGGGCCCCACCCCTCCAACCCTAGACGCACCAAGTTGGACTGGTGCCCAAGGATAAAGGGGGGTGCCACCTATATGGGCCTTAAAGCCCATCTGGTTGCCCCCTACTAGGCCTAGCCTATTTTGGGATGCCCAGATGCCTATAATAATTCCAGGGGGCTCCTGTAAATCCAGGAGCCCCTCTACATAATTATTTACCCTCTTGAAAAATTTTCCACCTATCCGGTTTTTCTCTGGATTTATCTGAAACACTTCCAGTTCTCTAACAAAACAATTTGTGTTATCTTCGAAACTTTTTCGGTGATATTCTCTCAAACTCCTAACTCCAATAGTACTCAACAGATCATAAACCCTTAAGCGCCTGACTTGCAGGTTCAGTGAAATAGAGACATGACCGAAACACATTTCGTTGAATGATAAATAGCATAACTGTGGGCATCCATATTGACTCATATACTCACACCAATGATTATCGAGGAACCTACAGCTACCATATGCTATTCCTTTTGCTTCACGATACTTTACAAAAGCCGAGGTGAGATATATCAGCATCCCGTAAATCAAACACATGATCACTGTGTCGGTCTCCTTGTTATCGGTTTTGTTCTCTTTCCTCGTTCTCGTGTTTCGGCATCCCCGTGAGCAAGTCACACTTTATTTGGGTCAGGCAGAGAGGACCCTAAGAATATCTTGCCATCGCCGAAGGAGCAAATTCCGATCTCGAGCTATCTAGTCCCGCATACGTTTCCGATGAACCTATAAGTTATTGTTATGATCACTGTGTTATGGTTCATGTTAGAACAACCCCAAAGTGCATTGTCCGGTATTAAGTGACTCGATACTCTCAATGGTCTAAGGACATATGACAACTTCTCGTGTTATGGACTATTAGACTTGTGACGAAATCATCTCCTAGTATAACATACAATTTTGGTCAATTCAACATGAGTGTTCGCCTTTAAATAGTGGATAAGCATCCGGGTGCGTCAATGCGCGGGCGCCGGAGTTGGTTTCTCAGCTGACGAGCCTGTTTAATGGCGGCACACGGAGGGATGGGCATTGAACTCTAGTAAACGTCTCTTCAGCATTGAACAGGCATAGACACCGGGGACACGACGCGGGCGGTGCCCTTGGCCGACGAGCCACTTCAATGCCGGTGTCGATGAGAGGTCATGTCCACTCTCAGCCGACGTCAATGTGGAGTGGCCGCTCTAGAGCAGTATGAATATGGGCAACTGGCTTCTGGCGGGAAAGCGCGTGGGCGAGGGAGGGTTTTTA